TGCAGGAGAGAGGGGGTGCAAGCCGTGCAGGAGAGGATCTTATGAATAGCTTGTTCTAATTGCTCCTGTCCTGAAGCCTCGGTCAAAGGGGATGTGCTGGGGATAATGTGTGTGTTGGTCTCTGCTTGCCCCGGGCTGCTGAAGCAAACCTGTTCCCTCCCCACTCCTGGGGAATTCAGGTGGGGCCCACCTGCAGCACCACCCTACGCCAGAAGGTGGCTTGTAGGGGCAGCCCACACCTTTACACCGTCCTCCCCCTCTGGGCTGCCCCCAAACAAGATCCCCACAGATCATTGTTGGCTGGAGGCAGGAATAAAAGCCAGGGCCAAGGACACAGGAACTGCCAAATCAGAGCACAGCGATGGTCCCATCTCGTGCAGTAGCTCACCACCATGAGGGGCCAGTGCTGGGTGCCTCACAAGGAGGGGCAAAAGGCCCATAATGCATCTTGCCCATTGTGCAATACAGCAGCATGAAGGTCACTCCTCCCTGACCACCCAGCCAGCTGATCTGTTTGTTCCCTGAAGCACAAGGATCAATGGCCCCGGGCCTCTGATCCTAGCTCGTGTTGCTACACTAGAAAATGATTTTCTCATTCAGGCAGGAATCTCATCCTTTCCCAAATCTCCCTAAATTATTTGCCTCAGTATCCTGCAGAAGTGAGTTCCATAGATAATTATCTTGCCCTTTTCACTTCATTGTCAGCTCACAAATCTCAGTCATTTGCAATGGGTTTCCCAAACACTAGTTCTATTAACGAGGCCTAACTGGTCTTTAAATGCACTTTGTGCTCCTGAAAGGATCTGCAATGACAGAAGCAGAGACTGGACTCTGAGGGCGAGGGCAAGCTCCCTCCTCCTCGTGCTCTTCATGGTGACTTCTAGAGGGGAAAGGGGTGTTAGCTCCCATAGCCCATTCCATCCGTGGACTCTAACGAGGGTGACAACAAGGAGGCCAGTTAACACCTGCCCCACTGGGAACTCAATGGAAGGTGTCATTACTGACCTGGGTCTGGGCTGGCACTGGTGCTCGAGAGGTGAAAGGCCTCATGTCCCATTCCACATCCCCCTGAGCCAGTCAATCCCCCCCTTTGCTCCTCCCCAGATCGCCACAGATACTCAGTGTGTACGTCATTTTGCTATCGGCACCAATATCAATAAAGAAGAGAACTGGAGGTGGCTCTGGACCAGCTCCTCCTGGGTGTCTCTCTTCACCAGACTGGCCGACATCACAGCACAAACATCTCTGCTCTTCTGCCAGGTCTTCTCTTTCTCAGACAACAAGTAACGGCTTGTCTATCCAGAGAGCCCTGATTCCCCATGGACCTCACAACATATCAGCTAACGCACCAGCCCTGATTCCCCATGCAAGGGCCACTCTTCGTTTTCTGTTGATTCAATCCAGACACTTTCTGCTCCAGCCTGCGCCATTCTCTCTCTTACTGGCACACGTCTGCTTCTGCAGTACCACTATCTGAGCTGCCCTTAGTCTGGGTAATTCTTTGTCTTTTTAATTTTTTTAACTTCTTAATTTTTGTCTTTAATTCTACCATCTACTTATAAAGCTGCAGGAAGGCTCCAGGACTGGTACAGCTCCCAGGCTTCCAAAAACCATGGTCATGCTCCTGCATGAAAGCTGCCAAGCTATTACACAAATCTACTTCCAGCTTTTCTTTCTCTCCAGGTGTCCCCTGTCCTTCTGACATTACTCAACCAGGCTTTTCAGCCCGAGCCCGTAACTCAACAACCGAATGTGACTGTAAATGAACAAATGACAAAGATCTGAGGGTTTTAGTGGATCTCAAATAGAATGTGATATACTTGTGAAAAAGGCCGTCGTTGTGGGGTTTTGTTGTGACAACTGGGCCTATAACTTTTTGCCTGCTTGGAAATTAACCATGAAGAGCATGTGCTTCTGTTCTCATCCACAGTTGTTGTCAGACGTTATTGTGACACCTTACGAGCTCACACTGAGGGTAAAGGCCGAGGCCCCATTATCACACTGGGCCCCACGGTGCTTGGTGCTGCTCAGACCCTGTGACAGTGTCAGCCCCAAAGAGCCAACAGTCCAAACCAGACCAGATGTAACAGGATGAGACAACCCAGGCCGGGGGGTGTGCTCTGCACTCACACTCCTTGTCTGGGGAAGGAGCGGCGGGCAGGCCAGGATGTGATGAACTCACAGCTGGGAGGAGCTGGTGTGAAGTGCTCCCGGGGAAGGGCCAGGCTGTGAGCCCTGGGTGTCCCTGGGCAGAGTGGGTTAGTGCCCACAGGAGGCTGGGAGTCTCAGCAGCTATGTCACTGGGACAGGCGCCCATGCCCACCTAAGCACCTTCAGACAGGGATGAGCACAAGACCCTCAGCCTCTCCCTGCTCAGGGGGTCAGTCCCCCAGGGACAGGGCCCACTCCCAGACCCCCCTAGGGCATAGCTGGCTAGGGCCCCCTCCAACCGGTGAGCTCCAGGGGCTGCATGTCACCAACGCTTGCTGGTGGCCGCTCTGACAAATTTTCCTAAAATACGTAATTAACTTCGGGAAAAACAAATAAACATGCGTATAGATACATCCAAGTGTCCACCCATGTCTCTGTCTCTGCCTCCCGTGGCCCTTCAGCGAGAGCTCACCCTGGGGAAGGTGGTTGGGAACTCACCTGCCACCGGCGGAGTCCCAGGGTCCCCGTCCCCTGGCCAGGAGGGAGCGGGGGAGCTGCCCAGAGGAGCGAATGGCACAGCTGCCTCCACTGACAAGAGCTGCCTCTGGCGCCATGCACACCGGCCCCACGTTTCTCCAGGAGTTGTGCCCGGAGCTCCGAGGAGGTTGCGCGGTGCAGGCTGCTCACCCCTGCTGGCAGAGCCAGCGCGAACACCAAGGCAGCTCTCCCTGCCCTGGGTAACAGCTATTCAGGAGTAACAGGTGGGGGCTGCAGGGAGGAGGCCGCTGCTTTCTGGGAGGGGAGACAGGGTAAGGGAGGGGCCTGCCCGGGGGGGCACCGTGACTTGAGCTGTTCAGGGGCAGACAAACCTTTAAACTGTGCCCCCCCCCCCCATTATCAACATATACAGTTTGTGGGACAACACCCCCCATGCTCCCCAATCTCTGCCCATTCTTTGGAGGCTGTCATGGCTGCAAAAAATTTGAGAAATGCTGCCCTAGGGGACCATCCCGTGACGTTGCACTCCATATGATTTTATGAAAATATGCTAATAAGTGTGAATATAACGTAACTGGGATATGCTTTATACAAAAGGTCTCTTGTAAGGGATCATTACAAAGCTTATAATCTACTGAGTGTGGTCATCCTATTTGTATAAATGTATCACTCTTGTATCTGAAACTAGGAATATGAAATATAACTCTGAGGGCCTATAATAATTATGCAGAGTGTGGGCCATTAATGGTGGTTTGCAATCTTGGTGGCTCCCATCAACCAGGACAATGGACTGTAGCTGGCTCTGTTTACTTGCAAGCCTTCCTGTGAGTCAGGCCAGGAAGAATGGAGGCTTAGAGTCTCGCAGAACATGTGACCATATCACCTGGTACTGGAATCCATCTTAAATCTCGTGCTTTTCCATTTAGAAGGAGAGGTGGGAACCCAGAGAGAGAAAAGATTCCTGCCTTCTGCCAAAAGTATATAAGGGGGTGGAACAGAACCAAGGGGGCTGCAGTCATGAGAAATCCCCTAGCTACCACCTGAGCTGGAACGAGGTCTGTACCAGGGGAAAGGATTGGGCCCAGACTAGGAAGGAGTCTGGTCTGTGAAAGAAGCTCATTGGAACATCTCTGAGGGTGAGATTTATCTGTAATTAGTTTCTTAATGTATTAGGCTTAGATTTGCGTGTTTTGTTTTATTTTGCTTGGTAACTTACTTTGTTTTGTCTGTTATTACTTGGAACTGCTTAAAACCTACTTTTTATGCTTAATAAAATCACTTTTTGCTTATAAATTAACCCAGAGTAAGTGATTAACTTACTGGGGGAGCAAACAGCTGTGCATATCTCTCTATCAGTGTTATAGAGAGGGGACAATTTATGACTTTACCCTGTATAATATTTGTACAGGGTAAAACGGATTCATTAGGGGTTTGGATCCCACTGGGAGCTGGGTGTCTGGGTGCTAGAGACAGGAACTCTTCTTAAGCTGTTTTGAGTTAAGTCTGCAGCTTTGGGGCACATGGCTCGGACCCTGGGTCTGTGCTGGAGCAGGCTGGTGTGTCTGGATCAACAAGGCAGGGTTCTGGAGGCCCAAACTGGCAGAGGAAACGGGCTCAGAGGTAGTCTCAGCACATCAGGTGACAGTCCCAAGGGGGTCTCTGTGACTGAACCTGTCACACGTCCATCCGATGATCCCCAAGTGCGTCACAGACACTCCGGGTGTTACCTTCTTCCCCGCTCTGAGCAGCAGGTCAGGATCATTAGCTCCACTGCACAGACTGAGATGGGGAGGGGCTTTCCCCAGGGATGGTCACACAGGAAGCCAATGGCGGCCAGGCCAGCAATGGAACCCAGGAGTCCTGGCTCAGTCTTTTGCTCTATTAATGAAGTTTGATTTCTGTAGCACCCTACAGTAGATGTGCATGGAGCCTGTGTACCCACTGAGCCGTGTGTGCTAGGTGTACTTTTCAGTGCCTGATCTCAGGAGTCTGCTACAGCTTTATCTCTCACTGCTTCCAGCTCTGAAGGACAATGATGTTTACACAACAGCTGGACACGTCCCTACTTTGAGGAGCTCAGGGTCTGAGTGGAGAGGAGACCAGGAGGAGATGGGTGGGCCAGAAGAGAGGAAACTCTGGGTATTGCAGATATCTGGAGGGAGATCATGTCCTGTCCCTTAGCCAAAAGGCCCTGCCTCCCTCTGGGGGTCCCCTTCCTCTCCTCCACTGGGATCTGGGTGGTTCAGGACACAGGCAGAGGGGGCTGGATGGACGCCTCTACGCGGGACCAGGAATGGAACAGAGGAGACACACACAGAACTACGTGCTCAGGAGAGTTTATTCTTGTCGTGGGCTGCAGCCACTGAAGGGAAGGGAGGGAAGGGGCAGGCGTGTAACTAGAACAGACACACTTGGGGGAAGAGAGTTTGCAGCTCGGGAAGTGCGATCTGGTCTCTCAGGGAGGGAGGGGACAGGCCCTCGATGCAGCAAAGGCATCGGAAAGTCTGGGACATTGCCTGATCATGCCCAAGGAGCCCAGTTCTTTTGCATCCCAGGCGCTGAGCTCTCTCTTCAGGCGCAGGCGTGTGACTCCCCTCACTAGAGTTCATACTTGCAAATGAAGGCATTTTTTGATGCACAGCTAACATTGTTCCATTCCTTAAAACCTAGAAAGTAAAACAGAAATCACTGGGGCAGGGGAAGGGCGAGTGGGGCCATTCCTGCCCTTACAGTGACACACACACCCCATTGCACCCTGCTGAGAGAAGGCCCCAGCTCCTGGGCATGGGGCTGCGAGGAAGAGGAGGCTGGAGACGAAGCCCCATGTGCCTCAGACAGAGACAGGCTCCATCGCTCCCTGAGGGACGCTGGGTCAGCGTGACAGTGGGAGACCCTCTTCTATTGTGTTGGAATGTGTCTGATGGGAGCACGACGGGGCCTCTTGGTGCTAGGTGCTGTGTTCATACACACACCCACAGACAGTTCCTGCCACAGGGAGCGCACAGTCTAAATAGACAAGAGGTGGGAGGGGAAACTGAGGCACAGAGTGGGGAAGTGAGTTGCCCAAGGTCACCCAGCAGACCAGTGGCAGGGCTGGGAATAGCAGTTAGGTCTCCTGAGTCACAGTCCCTACAATTCCACTAGGCCACGCTGCTTCTCCACCTGCGACTGCTGTTACCTCCCTTCCCTCAACACCCCCCTCAAAAGGCCAGAAAGGAGAGCACAGAGCCCTGGCCAGCTGCCAGCGGGGAGACAAGCTCGGGAAGAGGGACGCCGGCTCGCTCTGTGCTGAACGAGTCGGCCCTACCTCCATCTCCTACAGCTCTGGGTTTGGGCGTGGCCCAGAGGCAGCGTCTCGCCCCAGGGGACAGCACTACGGATTGGGGTTGATGAATTGCTGTGAATTTCACCCTCTTTCCTGTTCGCAGAGCCCCACAGCCCCGGGAACATTATTCAGAAACGGTGCCCACAATCGTTTTGCAAAAGGTTTCACTTCAACTATTAGCTGTGTGTGATTGGTCGTGCAGGTCACATGGCATTGTTCCTACTCCAGGATTGGATGAGTGACACTTCTAAGTAGGAGACAGTGGGGGGGGGAATCCTGCCCAGTGTGAGTTTGGGGGACGGAGCATTTGTGCCAATGCTGCTGAACACTCCGACTCAGGAGCATCGGAGGGTGGGCGGGGCCGTGTGACTAGCATGGCCCAGGAAGAATGAGTTACTCATGAATTAGCAAGTGAGATTTCCCTGTTCAGCCAGCTCCATGTCCTACTGCCAGCAAGGGGACAAGGCCTTCAGCCCCGCTCTGCCCCCTACACCTCTCCAGCAACACGGACAGCAGGAAGCTGGCTTAATGGCCAGCTGGGGGTTCTTCTTGTGTAGGGGAACCCATCAGAGACAGCTGCCCTGCCCAGCCCTGGCCTCCCCAGCATAGGGGACAAGCTGGGATGTGGCTGAAGCCCCTGTGCTCTGGCCATCCGAGTTGTTACTGCCACTGTCAGAGCAGCCCTGAGGCTGCTCTAAATTGTCCTGGGGCCAAAATAGCCCCCTGTCTGCCTCCAGAATCAGAGTGGCAAAAGCCACCAATGCATCAAACCGAAGAATCCATACCCCAGCTGCATATCAACAAGTGGGCGATAGTTATAGAATCATAGAACTGGAAGGGACCTTGAGAGGTCTTCTAGTCTAGTCCCTGCATTCAAGGCAGGACTAAATATTAGCTAGAGCATCCCTGACAGGTGTTGTCTAATCTGTACTTAAAAAACTCCAATGATGGAGATTCCACCACCTCCCTGGGCAATTTATTCCAGTGCTTAACCACCCTGACAGTGAGGAAGTTTTTCTTAATGTCCAACCTAAACCTCCCTTGCTGCAATTTAAGCCCATTGCTTCTTGTCCTATCCTCAGAGGTTAATGAGAACAATTGTTGTCTCTCCACCTTGTAACCACATTTTATGTACTTGAAAACTGCTATCATGTCCCCTCTCAGTCTTCCCTCCTCCAGACTAAACAAACCCAGTTTTTTCAAACTTCCCTCAGGTCATATTTTCTAGACCTTTAATCATTTTTCTTGCTCTTCTCTGGACTTTCTCCAATTTGTCCACATCTTTCCTGAAATGGGGCACCCAGACCTGGAGACAATACCCCAGTTGAAGCCAAATCAGCACAGAGTACAGTGGAAGAATTACTTCTTGCATCTTGCTGACAACATTCCTGCTAATACATCCCTGAATGATGTTTGCTCTTTTTGTTGACTCATATTTAGCTTGTGATGCACTATGACCCCCCCAGATCCCTTTCTGCGATACTCCTTCCTACACACTCATTTCCCATTTTGTGTGTGTGTCTATGTTCTGGTCTTTCCCTTTAACTGATCATCGGGGGCCTAATGTACTGTGTGGCCTGCCTCTGACTGGAGCTGAACCTCAAACTGCCAGGTATGGGGGAGGAGTTACCAGGGTTTACCTCTTTATAAGGGGATTATCTCTGGAGAAGGGCAGTGTGAGCTGCGGGAGAGAGGCAGGGTGACAGGACAGGAGGCCATCCCCACAGAGAGAGCTGGAGTGTGTGGCCAGGGTCCTGTCTGCCTCCTTTGTTGGTGCATGTGTATTTGACCATCTGTTTACCCCTGTATTTCAGCAGCTCAGTGCAGTACTCGTTGTTCAGGTCGCGTGGTTCTCCAGCTATCCAAGCTTTGTAGCGATACAGGGAGCCATCTGTCCATGTCCAGGTTCTGTCCTGCAGAGACAGGTGAGAAAGGTCGTGGGGTCCCACGGAGAAGAGACCTTGGTAACAAGGCACCATAGAAACACCTAAATCCAACACAGAAGTGCCCCACTCAGGCAGTGGGAGAGTCGGGGAAGGGCCGAGGGGCAGTGGGTGGGGAGAGGCCAGCTCAGGGGGACGGGACCTGGAGACACTGATCTAATAGTAACACTTAGCACATGAACTTCACCTTCTCCCTTCCAAGCTCTTTGCCTGTATTAACAAATCTTCACACCATGACGCAGTCACTCTGCAGTGTGTTCTAGTCCCTAATGGACACAGCCCGCCGTGGGGCACTGGTGGTTTTAAGATGGGGGATCTCGTCCTGTGTAAGCAAAATAAAAGTGCGTCTGTGATGGAGACGCTGGATGGATCAGTGAATGGGACACGGGGCCTTTTCCCCTCTAGTGGGCTCAGCGTCAGCCTGGCCCTAAGTTAGCAGGACTGACTAGCTTAGTAGAATCTGAGAAGGGGACATGGGGCCTTTCACCTCTGGGGGTGCTGGCTCTGGCCTGGCCTCAGCTCATGCGGGGACTAGCCGGCTTTGGGGGGTTAGAGAACTGGATCCAATCCATTGCCAGGCCGGGGGAAGCTGGATGACTGAGGACACTAGAAAACGGGATACAGAGCCTCTCACTCCTCCCGCACTGGGTCCAGCCCAGCCTCCAGTCTGGGGCAGGAGATCCTTGGGCTGAGTCTGTGTGTGCTGTTCAGGGAGCCTCCTGACCCCATAAAAACAACAAGGAGTCTGGTGGCACCTTAAAGACTAACAGATTTATTTGGGCATAAGCTTTCGTGAGTAAAAACCTCACTTCTTCGGATGCATCCGAAGAAGTGAGGTTTTTACTCACGAAAGCTTA